AATATGTTCCCCAACTTCGTTTGGGGAACATAATAAACAGAACAATTTCAATAAGTCTTTCCACGGAAAGGTGGAAAGACCTAAAGATAATTTAAAACAAATTAAAGACAACTAGGGCTAATTGTAACGGGAACCGTTACAGATGTTCCCCAAACGCTCCCCAACTCCCTTTTGGTGCCGTATTCCCTGTAAGCTTCATTAAATAAGACGAACTCTATGCGTTTTAGACTATAACAATGTTTTCCAAGAAGTATATTCAGTATATTCAAATTTATGCATTGCACGCATGCGCATTTGAATGCATGTGCGTAATGACCATATCATCTTGTCTACACTATTTATATACTAGAAATTACAGCGTTTTATCCAAAAGTATCAAAAAATACGTTTTAATCTAGTGTATTTGTAATTTTACTCATTTTACATGCACGCATGTGCATGCGTGTGCATGTCGATTGTATCTTCTTGTAGGAGTCTGTTATGTTTGTCTATGTTCTAAATCCCATCCTGTTTGGTTGAAAAACGAGGAAGTTATAGCCATTTTAAGTTTAAGCCAATCAGATTGCAGCGCACGTGTATTTCACGAAAATATATATCATATTGTAGGACATCCTAATGCATGATTATGTTTAAAATTTTAAAGCATTTCGTCAAAAATTTAAAAAAGATATTGCAATTTTTGTTTCAGCGAATCACAGCAAAGCACACGTGCATGCACGTGCATGCATGTGCATGACGACCATACTTCCTTGTGGGAGTCCATTATGTTTGTCTATGTTCTAAATCCCATACTGTTTCGTTGAAAAACAAGGGAGTTATAGCCATTTAAAGTTTAAGCCAATCAGATTGCAGCTCACGTGCATGCGCGTGTTTACATGACAATTGTTATATATCATATTGTAGTACATCCTAAAGTATGCCTATCTTCTAAATTTCATAGCATTTCGTCAAAAAACAGAAAAGATATTGAGGTTTTTGTTGCAGCCAAAAGCAGCGCACGTGCATGCGCGTGAAAGAGTGTCACGTTATCTACACCATTAATATAAGTTTTAAAATATTTCATCAAAAAATGTTAAAGTTATGGCTATATAAAGTATATCCGTCATTTCACTCATTTCACGCGCCCGCACGTGCATGCGTATGCGCACAAAATGACCTTCGTGTTGCACACCTACACTACACACCTATTAACCCGAAAAAGGTTTTAGCTCAGTTGGGTGAACAGTTTCAAAGAAGAAAAAAAAGAATAATAATAATAATAATAATAATAATGAGAACACTCGCGGAGAATAATAATAATAATAATAATAATAATGGCTTGGGGAACATAATTACAATTTTACTTACTAAACATGATAGCTTGGCTTATTGTCAAATACAATTGAATGAATGCGCATGCATGTTTTCAAGTCTACCTTATTTTTCATCATGTCATCTTCAACAGATTGAAATTTCTCTGGTTGTTTTATAGAATACATTTTTAGCACGTAGAAATTAGGGTCATTGTAAAATTACCTAGCATACTGCATTCTACTCTTGCTAAGAACAAAGTACGGTATTGGCCAAACAAGAGGCCCAAGGGCCACATTGCTCACCTGAGCAAATCGGCTAGGAAAAAGCACAAATCAGAAGGGGGGATGGGGGGTGTTGAATTTAATACTACTTGAGAATGCTTTCATATTAATACAGCATATGACTTTGCTGTTCTTGATAAAAAGATATTTTAAAAAACATTTTCTTCCTATATATAACTTCATAAAAATTTGAATTTGATTCCCCATTGTTTCCCTCCCTACACCAAAGGGCCATGATTTGAATAAATTTAAATCAGGAATTTGAACAAACTTAATTCTACACTACCCGTAAATGCTTCCATATAAATACTAGTATCACTAATCATGGCTTTGCTATTCTTGAGAAGAAGATTTTTAAAATATATTTAGTGTAAAACTTGGATCCCCCGTTGTGACCCCACCCTATCCCTGGGGGGTCATAATATGAACAAACTAGAATCAACACTACCTGAGAATGATTCCATATAAATATCACTAATCATGGCTTTGAAGTACTTGAGAAGACGATTTTTAAAGATTTCCCTATCAAGTCCTATGTAAAACTTTGATCAGCCATTTTGGCCCCATCCTACCCCTGGGGGTCATAATTTGAACAAACTTGAATCAACACTACAGGAGGATGCTTCCACGTGAGTTTCATCTTTCCTGGCCCAGTGGTTCTTGAGAAGAAGATTATTAAAGATTTTCCCTATATACTCCTATGTAAAACTTTGGTTGGCCATTGTGGCCCCACCCTACCCCCAGGGGTCATGATTTGAACAAACTTGAATCTACACTACAGGAGGATGCTTCCACATGAGTTTCATCTTTCCTGGCCCAGTGGTTCTTGAGAAGAAGATTTTTAAAGATTTTCCCTATACACTCCTATGTAAAACTTTGGTCGGCCATGGTGGCCCCACCCTATCCCTGGGGGTCATGATTTGAACAAACTTGAATCTACACAACAGGAGGATGCATCAACATGAGTTTCATCTTTCCTGGCCCAGTGGTTCTTAGGAAGAAGATTTTTAAAGATTTTCCCTATATCTTCACTAATGTCTTAAGAGTCTTTAGGCCTTATACCCCTGCGAGACGATCATGAATAATTCATGAATTTCCTTGAATTTTTCATGAATTTTATTCATGAAATGTTCATGAAATGTTCATGAAGATCCTATGAACTTATTATTGGACATTTTCAAATCATGAATTTTTATTCATGAAAGAAAATTGATGAATATTCATGAATATTTTTTTTCATGAATAATTCATGAGGAGTCATATTCATAAAGATTCATCATTTCAAGAATGTCCAATAATAAGTTCATAGGATCTTCATGAACTGTTCATGAATAATTTGATGAATTTTTTCAGGAATGTTCATGAATGAATAAAATTCATGAACCATTAGCATTCATGAATATTCTTGCTTATTTGTAAACAAAAAATGCAATATTATTATTCATGTTTATTCATGAAAATGCATGAAGTCATGCTAAAAAAGTAACAGTAGATGTTTTATAATACAGCATCTTGAAAGATTTCACAGAAATGTTGTTTGTTTTCCAACCATGGCAACAAAATCTTTGTTAAAAAACTTAAAATAGACAGTTCTGACATATTAAACCATAGTAAATGAGTAATGTAGTTCATTCCTGGTAAAAGTATAAAAAAAAATTCAATTCAAACGCAACTCTTTGCAGAATGTTTAACCTTACTTGGTCAAGAGGAGAGGGGGGTCCTTCCTCAGCATGTTTCAAAGTGTGTTTTAATGCCAGAAATTGAACAGTTTTTAATTCCAGTCTAGGAGAAAAGTTTAATTGCCTTATTGTTTTATTAAATGACATACATACCAGCCATTCTGAACGGGTCACGATTAGCAGTGTGGTGGCGAACATTTTAAAGCATACAGGAAAATTTAAATAGTTTTAAAGCTGAAATAATGTGTTTCCAAACTAAAAGGTCCCCTAGATATTGGTTGCTTAAATTTATTTCATTTATTTAGCATATGGGGCAAGTACATAGAATTGGGGGGGGGGGCTTAACCAACAAAATAAAGATAAACTCCAATTTTCAATTCCTATATTATGTATATATTTGCAAAATATAGGGGGGGCTAAGCCTATTTATTATACTTCAATTACAGTAGAAATAAAATAGATCAGCTTATTATGTAGTCTATCCAGAAATGAAAATATCAAATATTACTTCTTTCATGTAAACAGTCTAAAACAGGGAAGTATTCACCATATATTCAATTTCAATATAACTTGTATAGCCTTATGACTCCCTTCCCAAATACTCTTACAATTATGAGACATTTTTTCTTTCTTAAAATAGGAATTAGAAATAGGAAGATTTCTAATGAAGGAATTTGTCATAGATTTAACAATCTAACGGTGTTTCCAAAAAGGCAATAACTGGGTCCATAGGACATTCATCCTTCAACAATAGAATATTTTATCTACATTTGTCATCATATTTTACAGGGATCCAGCAGATACCGAAAAAGGGACAACGCTTCGACTGAATGTGTCATCCATTATATACCGGTATAGATCTTTTCATGAGGCTTTACATACTGTAAATGTATTACATTTGGCGTGTACAATATTTGGCGTAAATTCAATTTTCAACAAGTTATCGTAGATTTAATTTAGCTCAATCTGAATGTGCTAGTTATAAAATTCATATACAAGACATTTAATGATGTACTTGGATTATTGGACTATGTTTCCCACTAAATAGAATACATGGCTAAATGTAATATGTTCACATTATGTATAGTATATCTCATATTTCTTACACTCATGAAGAGTGTGACAACTTCCAAGTAGAATTTATTTTATTTTGTATTGGGTAAATTTTGGGCTGCACTTTTTTTCTTCAATATTTCAAACCTACTACAGCAAAACTCGGTTAGTACGAACATGGATATTGTGAATTCACGAAGTTATCTCTGATCCCCAGCTATATAAATTTAATGAATTTCTTATACTGTTATAATGGATTACGGATATAGCAAAGTAATTTCACAGGTCCCAGTGACTTTGTTATAACCGAGTTTTACTGTAGTTTATTTATTTATCAAATTCACGAAAGCTCACATACTATGGTAAATCAATTAACCATAATACTAGTTAAATTTGGCACATACTTTCTAATTAAATCATCAAATTTGATTGGAAAAAAATTTGTTAACAAGTACTTTTCTCCTTCGGTGTGCCTAACATTACATCCCAACGATTGAAAATGCACGTTGATAGGTACATGTAAGTTCTCCATAAAAAATGGCTAACTGTGCAGATTGTTTGCACATTTGTTTCAATGAATAACATTTTCTAAAAAATACTTCAGTGTAACAAGACAAATATTGCATGTTTATTTCAATACACTATACATGAACTTAAGAAAAAAATTAAGGATGTTGACTTTGTATATCTGCTAGTTACTTGTGTAATTAGTTTTATATATATATTTAGGATGTACACAGGCATAATATATAATTGTTAATATTTGAGAAAGTATTCACTTTTTTGTGTAGATGTTCACTTCCAACTTAATACATTTTCCAGGTTCTTGTGAAAAGTGTTTTATATGGCACCATTCAGCAACAAATACCCGATGTACTCTTTGCCGGTGGAATTGTGACCTCAGTCTAGTACTCACGACACTGCTAAATGGCATAGAATTTCCTTTTGAGACAAGCAAATTGTTTCAAACATTTTACACCTGCAGGTTGGTACTTATAAAATTTTGTTTGAAGGTAAATAAAGGCTAACGCGATCTGAAAATACAAGCCAGATGTACCGGTAGTACAAAAGTGTTGATACAAGTCATTTAAAATTTTCATTTCTTTGCAGATAGTGATGAGTGCACCAAAAGTTTTTATCATGATCTCGTCCAACATCATAGGTACAACTGGTCACTGTGATTTCTTAAATAAGAAGACATGTTGTTAAGGCGGTTACATATGTACATGTGGCTCCAATTGATGCTTGACTGTTTTCCTTCACTTTATAAGTTGACCTGGATTGGTCTCTGATGCAGTAATATGGAGCCATGTCATGTTTTAAATCCCATCTTCCCACTGTCACAAAGTGCTAAAATAAAAATGACTTTGATTTAAATATATATATTTTTTGTTTTTATAAAATGTAAACAAAACATTTTTAATACAGAAATTAAAATACAGTACACGTGGAAATTTTAGCGAGATGCAAATTTAGTGATCTGTCTTTAAAATTTGGTATTTTCTATTTAGCAAGAAGTAATTTTAGTGATTTTTAAAAGCTTACTAACTTTAGAATATTTGTATATAATTTTAATTAACATAATTATTACAACTTAAACACATTTAATTTTCAGTGAAATTCAATTTTAGCAATCTCAGAAACCTAGCTGATAATGCCTCGCTAAAAATTCTGCTTATACGATATTAAAACTACTAATTAAATAAGTATCTTAAATGTAAATCCTTTGAAGGTTTTGCTTGTCAGATTCTTTGCTGATATGGTTACTTACCTTTAATTTTGTCATGACAGGTGAGGCACATGGCTAAACTTCATGCTGGATGAGTTCTTGATCAAATCAGTGATGTCCTAAGATTTCCAGATATGCAGACAAAATCCTGTAATATAGCAAACTTCTTAACATGTCCTTCGAATTATTGCACAGTTGTGCCAGTATGCATTACTAATAAGTTATATTTAGAGTACGAGTTTCCTACTGTATCAGAGATACAGGGCGGGGCTTGAGGCGAGAGCAAAAAAGAAAAATGCTTCGGGGAGATCATATTCTTAGAGAAATGTCCAACCAGATAAATGGAAAAAAGGGGGAGTGCTATTCTGAGAGAAATGTTCGACAATGTCATCCACCGGTCGTCATAATATACAAAATTGAAATAAACAGATGAAAGGAAAGGGGGGCATTTACCTTCATGTTTTAATAAAATGTAGAGTAACCAAAGGGGGATCCAGCACTCACAGGTGCGCATTGGTATGCCCCCACCCCACCCCCTTCGAGCCTTTTCTATTTGGCTTTTGTAGATTGTTTTTGCTAACCTTGTAAACATACGCTTTGTAATTTATCACAAGTAACGATATCACGCACATGGTGTCTGGGTTGATTATTTATCTACCTCCACGAAAAACGATTTTCCATTTTTTTTTGGGGGGGTGGTGTGTAAAAGTAATCATTTGTGAACTGCCCAACTCCCTCCATTCTAAATTTTTTGAATCCAACACTCATAACTTTATGTTCACGTTGAAATTTTTTTTTCTGAATTCACCTAAAATTTTAAGTAAATACTAACAGTGCTATCATGCGAAATGAACGATTGTTACGTCTGTCAACGCTAAAAAAAAATGTACTGTATCATTGATATTTTGCAGATACAGTACGGTTTCTGCTCATTTGCGTAAGAAACGCCCACAAAAAGTGTTCTGTATCGTAGTTACAGTATGGTTGACTTTAAAGGAAAACTCGCTGGGTCATGTCACAATTTAGGTGTAATGAGTTATAAATCTGGTAAATGTCCATTTACTGGATATTTAATGCAAATCTTAACCTTCTTCATTAAATTTTATAAATTATTTTACTAGATAAACAGAATAGAAATTGTCCTTTTTATACCAAAAAATGTTTTCATAAAAAATTTTGATTTTAGAATATTTGTTTTACACACTGTATTTTCATATCTAGGGTGCCATACTAAGGCCAACAATAACAAAATGATTTGTACTCAGACTGACCCATTAAAATCAGCCCTATCATTAGCAATCATTTTTTCAGCACTTCAATTTTCATTTTCCCCCTTATTTCCATAGACATTTTAAAAGATAAGGTATTTTTTTAAGGATGCGTTTCGATCTATACATATATAATCGATCTAGCTAGTAATGAAAACATCAACAGATTTCTGAGTCTGTGATTGTGAATATGAAAGTTATCAATTTTTTCAATCCCGGATACTGTAAGACAAAAAAACCCCACCTACTAACCTGGATAAAAACATATTTATTGATGGCCAATGTTGACAAGTATATTAATCATTTAGTAAAAAAAAAAATTGATTCATACCCTCGTGTGCCCATATTTCGACAGTCTTTCAATGTATTAATGCAATATTTTATTTTATGTAAGCAAAAATCCATTGAAATAAATTGAGCGGTAAATACATCATTCAAATTGTATTCTTTCCTGTGTAAAGATTTATCCAGTCAGTCTTATCTACTTCTATTGGTGATGAGTTCAAAAGTGACATAAAAAACAATGGGCGCCGCCATTACCGAGTCCTAATTTCGACGGTTACATCATCGATCGATATGCAAGCAATCAGGAAGGCCAAGCAAAACAAATTTTTAGTAGAAATGAAATTAGATTAATTTTTTGCAATAGAAGGTTATTTAATGGCCACGATTGTAAATTTAACATTTGAATTCATCACTTTGTCACTCCTAAATGCAATGAGGACAGATGAATTAGTCATACGAGGCAGATAGCCTGTGTGCTGCAACGGTATTTCAGGTCACTCAATATTGACAAGGCCCCCCAATCTTCATTTCATCATACTGGGCCCATTTTGTGAATATAATTTTGTCATAGTTGAAAATTTCTTATGGTGAAAATGTCCAATATACACACCGATATGGTGTGTACAACATGTAGTTTGATGTCATTTTATTTACAGGATCAGCCAACAAATATTAACAATAGGTAAACTTATATAACCTTTTTTTTTTTTTTTTTTTTTTTTACATATAATCCGTATAGAGTTATTAAATATTATTTTAGTACCTTTTTAATGTAAGTAGAGAATGAAATAATTTTGTTTTAAAAAGTATGTAATGGTGAAAAAGTTTAAAAGAAACAAAATGTAATATTCTAAGCATTGAAATAATTCTATGTAAAGATTCATTATAGTACTTAATTAAAAGGGGAAAAAAGTATTAAAAAAAAAAAGATAGAAAGAAAATACACAATTACATTTTCAGGATATTGCAGATGATTACCAAAATTCATTAAAATTTAAGTATAACAACATTCTTAGTCATTGTGTTTTTAATTCAAAATATGATAAAAATTCATTATTTTCTTTTTTAAAAATATAGTTCTGATAAATTCAAAATAAAACTGGCTTGGCCTTATTTTCCATAACTTAGTCGCGCGATATTCATTACTGAATTGTCAGTCTATGCAGACGGCATTTTGTCAAGTTATTTGTAGCAAACATATTCCAGTAATCAGATTTCATATCTGTGTCAAAAAGTGATATTACGCAAGGCAGACATTTTTTCCCCTAAAATTATATGAAATGAAAGCTTTCGTGTTTGAAATGTATTTTCATTCATGATATAGGTAATATAATCGTAAGTCTACAGGGGTACTATGTTTACACAGACCAGCCTGATCTCGCAAGAATGAGCCAGATATAAACAAAATAAGAAAACCGTTGAAATTCGGACACTGTCGAATTTAGGACCTTCGTCCATATCATTATACATTTAATCTGTTGACAAGGGTATCATCCCATTTTAACAGTGAGGTGATTACGTTGAAGATTTTGATTCCCACTGTGGGACATGGAGACTGGTCCTTCATACGAGACCGTTAAAACCATGTAACAGGTACTGGCATGAAAAATATACCTCACTACTCAATGGCCCTGAGTGCCGAGTATAGGACAAAATTTGCAGCTCTCCACCGTCAAGTGAGTGCGTCTCCATACGAGTGAAAAATTCTTGAGAGGGAAGTTAAACAACAATCATTCAATTAATTTAGTGAGGTGAGATGACAGTATAGATGAATCATGGGTAAATGTCTAAAAGAAAACCTTGGGGTGGGTGAGGGTAAAGCATCACTACACATCCATGACTTTTTTGTAATATTTTGATATGTTATGTCTTAAGAGAATAAATTCTATATATATGACCTAGAACTTATTCTGTTGCATCAATTTCATACCTGTATTTGATTTGCATTTTTAAGAAGGCTGATCTTTCAAAGTCAGTTATGTCTTAGGTGCTTGACTTTGGATTTTTCAGCAACCGCATCTTTCATCTGTGTTACTGCCTGGTTCTCTTGTACTTCTGCTATAAAATAAGTTTTAGTGTATATAATTGTGTAAGATCGATGAATAAATTGAATATACAGAAAGTTTAACGACCATACTGTCTAAAGTGAGATATATGGTAATTGTATTGAAGTGATTTGAATTTTGTTAAATGTTGAATGCAGCGAGATAGCAAAAAATATATGAACATCTTATCTTTGGGAAGTAGATCTAAATGGCTACAAACATTTATAGCTCAAAAGTTGATCCAGTGACATACAACAGGTAAAACTTTATTTAAAAAAAAATATTTACCCACACAAAAGTGATGCAGCCACAATATGACGTTTGTACCCATCGGACACTGACAAAACTTCTCCTCTATAATCAGCTG